CATGAAGGTAAACAGTTTCCTGTCTCCATCCTACACACTGCAGGTCTCCTGGGGAAACAAATTTCACCCTTCCACATTGCTAAGAGGCACTCCTAATGGTCTTCCCAATGTCTGTAACACAAAGTTCAAAGACTTTTGCCTGCACATTGAAGGTCATTTCCATTCTTAACCCACCCCACAGAAACACTCCACTACGGTCAAACTCATTTTCTCTTCCTGGCACTCGACGTACACTCCTAGCTTTGCACCTTAACTTCCACTCATCTATTTATTAGACCTGCTTTCCATCTTCCCACAGTTCAACTTGCATTTCTTTTTTCTTATTTTTTTTAGAGACAAGAGTTTTACTTTGTCACCGTTGGTAGAGTACTGTGGCATCACAGCTCACAGCAACCTCCAGCTCCTGGGCTTAGGCGATTCTCTTGCCTCAGCCTCCCGAGTAGCCGGGACTACAGGCACCCGCCACAACGCCCGGCTATTTTTTGTTGCAGTTTGGCCAGGGCCGGGTTGGAACCTGCCATCCTCGGTGTATGGGGCCAGCGCCCTACTCACTGAGCCACAGGCACTACCCCATCTTGCATTTTCTTAAGTTAAAAAAGGCCATCACCGGGTTGGCGCCTGTGGCTCAAAGGAATAGGGCGCTGGCCCTATATGCTAGAGGTGGTGGGTTCAAACTCGGCTCCGGCCAAAAAAACTGCAAAAATAAATAAATAAGGCCATCACCTGTCATTGGGCATCTCAGTGGCATGACAACACAACCCAAACATATTTATTAGGTACTACTTGTTAAGCGCAGTTTTCAAGAATGAAAAACTCCAGTTAGAAAATTGCCCTAAGTTGGCCTCTCGGGCAGTTAGCTGAGAAGGTCCCTGAGGCTTTAATTGTGGGAGAGACCAAAGACAACGCGAAGGCGAAAGAAGAAAGGAGTGATTTGCCGGCGCGGTGGCTCACGCCTGTAATCCCAGCGCTGTGGGAGGCTGAGGAGGGAGAATTGCTTGAGCTCAGGAGTTCGAGACTCGTCTGAGCTAGCGTGACACCCCGACTCATGAAAAAAAAGGACAAACCCATCCGGGCGCCGCTGCGAGCGCCTGTAATCCCCCCGCTGCCAGAGGCTGAGGCAGCGGGACGCCCACAGCCCGAGTCTGAGGTTGCAGTGAGCTATGCACCCTGCACCCTGCTCAGGGGTACAGGGTGGAACTCTGTCTCAACAACAACAAAGGAGTGATTTGTTAAAAGATGAGAAGCGTGGGGTTAGGAATTCAAGCCAAGAAGCCCCAGACCCCAGCCACGCACCCAGACGAGGCCCGCAGCGGGGCGGCCGGCAGGTCAGGGCCGGGGGAGCAGGAGGAACCTCAGTCCGAGGGACGAAATCGGGCCCTCGAGGGCGCTTCTATCTTTGTAGCCGAGAAACACTTTTCACTGCACAATGCAAACATGGTGGACACAAAACGCCCCCCTCGCGTTTCCCTGCGGCCGAAACACGTGGCGCCCTTCCACGCTGTATAAAGTGGGGCTAAGGGCGGGGCCTTCCCAGAATTTGTTCATGATGTGGTGGAGGACGGGAGAACTTTTCCAGACCGCGACACTACGGTTCCGTCAAAACACACTCGCAGGGCTGATGCTACCACCTCCCCAATTAAGGCAGAATGGCGGGGTCTGAGAATTTGCTGGTTGTACGGTAAGAAAAAAAGGTGGAACGTGCAGACGCGCTCCCTCAGAGCTAACAAGCCCCGGCTTCTACCTCGCCCGCCACTGGTCGGCCCACCGGCGCGCAGGCGCGTTTCTGGCCGCCAGCGCCAGAGAGAGGAACGGATTCTTGAGTCTCGCGAGAGTAGGACGGGCGGCCAGCAGCTCGCGCTCCACCCCCTCCTTCTCGCTCGCTCTCTCCCATCCCCCCAAGCCAGTAGCTCAGCTGCGCAGCTCGCTTAGCGGTTGCCGCCACCTGAGACGGTTGGAATAGCCGTTGTGGTGAGCGCTACACGAGGCGAACGACGTCTCCCGCTTCACGACCGGACCCGCGAGCACCGGAGTCGGTGTTCCTATCGCCTGACAGGGTATCTGAAGTAAAAGGGGGTAGGTTGGGCTGGTGGTTTCGAGAGCTCAGTCGGGAGGACGAAAGGGAGACCGGGAGGGGGTTGGCAAAGGGGAGGAGTGTAGAGGTCGCCGCTCTGAGGCGGCGCGGCTGCTCCTCCCCGGCAGTCTCGGCCGCGAGGAAGGCGGCCTGCCGCGGGGAGGCCGCCGAGGCCCCGTGTGGGGGCAGCCAGCGTCTCCCCTGGCCCTGCTGGCTGGCCTCCGCCATTTTGGGTATGGTGGCGCGGCCGCCTCGGCTTCCCGCCCTTCCCCGCGTTTTTTACTTTTTGTTACCCAGCTTCCGAAAACTGATGTAGGAGGCCGGGGTGGGGGTTGGTCAGAGCACCTGGAAGGGGCGGGGTGGGGAGTGGAGCGAGCTTGGGAGAGCTGGGCAGTCGGGTGGGGGAGAATCCGGGCTGCCGGGCGCGCTCCCGATGGAAATGGCGCCTGAGGGGCCTGGCCTCCCACCGCGGCCTCCCTTCCTCCGCAGTCTCGGCAGGGCTACCTGGGCTTTCGGGACTGCCAGTGACTTCTGACGCACGTTCCCAAGATGAGAGAGGCTGGCGCTGGGGGAGGAAGGCCAATGGCGACGGAGGCGCTCAACTCCCAAATCCAGGACAAAGGAGGCAGACGGCCTCCTTTGTAATTCCGCCGCCCGGTGGCGAAGGTTTTTAAGCCGGGCTCGGCTGCGGACCGGGCGGGAGGTGGGGGGAAGGGGCGTGCTCCCCTAGTTCTCTGGTCTCTAGGGCAGCTAGATAAGCGGAAAGTCTCCGGGGAGGAATAAAGGACGCTTAGCCGGCCCTTATTCCAGATTTGGAACTTCGAAAAGAGTACGTACTCAATTTCCAGGGGTTCCCCCCCCCCACGTTTAAACGTTTATAAGGACTTTGTGGGTATTTTGTACGCAGAAAAGTGATTTATCAGATAGGAATGTGAAATGGGCATATTTCAGATAGGTCATCTGGGCCCTGTGAACTGTTACACTACTTTTTCAGCTTTGGGGCGGGGGTGGTGGTTTAGCAGTCGTTTTGTGTATTTTGGCCCACAGGGGTTAGAATTTGAGTTTTACTTTTAGGAAATAGTTGTTAAAACACAACCAGAGATGGCAAAAAAAAAAAAAAGTGTGTGTGTGTAGGAACTGAGTTAGCTTTAAATACGAAATCTCACAAAACAGTTGTATTTTGTGAAAAGATTTTTTTTCTTGGCATAAAGCTGTACAAATAAAATTATTCAGAATACTGTTAGGGTTTATTTTCTTTTGGTAGGTAAGCATGTTTTTCTTTTAGTATAGGGGCATATAATCGTATTTTGAACAAGGAAATAGCCTTCTATATAAGGACGAATTGTAAACCCAGTCATTGGGTGTAATTTGGGGGAGAGGTTCCTTAGAGCAGAGAACTGGTGGGTAATTTATCTTGAAAACTCTACAAAAGGGAAAAAGGCCTGAGAATTTCTGGTAATTCTTTACTAGAAGTGTATTACTTTCCCAGCTCTTAGAAACAAAAACATGAAAAAACTTCCTGCCTATGGAAGATGTTCTGTGATGCTTTATCAAGATTGCCAAGGAAAAGTTTATCAAAGTCTTACCCTGAAACAGTAGATTTTAGTTGATTTTAGAATGACAACTTGAGACTTCATAGGAAAGTAGTATGGGATATGATATTAATACCTTTCCTAATTGGATTAGACAACATACCTTTTTTTACTGTCTTTTTTTTTTTCTACGCCATAATCTGGAGGATGCCTACTTAACTCTTACCTTTGATACCCTTGTTTCTGTAAACAAGGGAACTGCAATAGATAAAAATTGAGTTCTAGTAAACTCATTTGTAATAAGTTCCATTATAGTTAAAATTGTATCAGCACCATTTGTTTGGCCAAAAATAAAGTTCATTCTCATTCCTTAGGAACAAGAGCTACCCTTTAGGGGACCCTTCAGAGGATAGAGGGTGCCCCCATGTTCCAAGAATTCTATATTTCAATTATCTATTCAATATTTTTTCTTAATAGCTTTGGGATATCATTTACCACCCATAAACTTTATTTAAAATTACATTCAGTACATTTTAGTACCTTCCCAGATTTGTGGGGACATCATTGCAGTTTTTGGATATTTTTATCACTCAAAAGATAACTTGTATCCATTAGCAGTGTTTCCCCATGCTGCCTCCCAAGTCTCATAAAACTGATTAAAGTTACCCTCACATTTTATTTGGTAATATTTTAACACTTGGAATTCTTACAGTGATTAGCCATGACATTTGTTGCAAAGAAAGGTTGAGATGGATTATCCTGAGTAATTAATAAGCCGTTTAGGTAGTTTCTAACAGCTTTATTAATGTATTATATCAGATTGCTTTTTTGTATGCCCTTATGTTTTTTTCTTTGTGTAAGTAGAATTTTTGCATGTTGAAAGGGCAGTATACACTCTTCACATGTGGGAGGAGAGTAACCCTATAAAATTAAGAGTTTTCTGGGAATGTCATCCTTGGTTGAAGATTGTGCTTAGTGTTTTTATAGACAATACTTTGTTTTCATATGGGTCTTATTGGTACAGGCCAATCCAAAAAAAAAAAAGTTTGGTAGTATTTTCTTGTGAAGTGCTAGAGATTTACAGTAAAGATGAGTCAATTTCCATCTCTTTTTTTTTTATTTGCTTCTGAAGTACAAATCTACGCTGAAAAAAAAATGTGCTAAGATAGGATTTTTTTGTTTGTTTTTTTGAGATTGTCTCAAGCTGTCACCCTGGGTAGAGTGCTGTTACGTCACAGCTCACAGCAACCTCCAACTCCTGGGCTCCAGCAATTCTCTTGCCTCAGCCTCTCAATTAGCTAGGACTACAGGTGCCTGCCACGACACCCGGCTCTTTTTTTGGTTGCAGTTGTCATTGTTGTTTTAGCTGGTCCCGACTGGGTTCGAACCTCCAACCTCAGTGTATGTGGCCAGCGCCCTAAGATAGGATTTTAAGTGCACTAAGATCCTTTCACATTAGGTTGACTTCAGGCAGTGACTTATGGTGGTAGATCTTTTCTTTTTCCTTTCTTCTGTTCTTAGTTCCCCCATTATAGCAAACACTTTATTGAGACTGGTGCTGTTTTTGAAAGAAAAAAATTTTTTTTTATTTAAGAAAATGGTAGGGATCTTCCAAATTGATTTGGGGCCACCTTTCAGAGCCACTCTTTAGTATCATATTAAACTTTTAAAAGCCTTTGTTGCCTTAGAAAAAAATTTAACAGTTTTTATTTCAAGACTCAGACTAGTGTCCCATCATTTAATATTCAGATACTTTTTTGGTATTTATCATTGATTTTGCAGGACCCTTTAAAATTTAGTAACAGTCGCTGTCAACAGCTGCTTACCATGAAGCAGACGAAGCACTTTATAAATAATTCTCAACAGCCCAGTGAGATGCAAACCTTCACTGCTATATTTTGCAGTTGAGTAAGTTCAGAGGTTAAGTAGTTGAAGCAGCCTGTGGATGATAGAGATTCAAGCCCAGGTTTTTCTCTTATGATTTTATACTTTTTGTGCATAAGAATAAATTGTAATGTCAGTTCATTTTGGTTTTGTATGTCTGGAGTGGCACCTAGGACTTTTAGCTTTGAAGGTGATTCATATGTAGAGGTATGTGGTTAATAACTTCTGGTGAACATCTACATTAGCTTATTTTCAGTGCATGAATTCTAAAAAAAAAAAAGTTGGCCCTTTGCAGATGCCTACTCCCAAGAGTTGAACTGATTATTAGATCATGTGAAATTAAGCATTACTGAATGCTATTGATGTATGAAATGCCCTCAAGCCTAAAGGGATCAAGTGAACGAATTGTTTTGTTTACAGGGGAGGAGGTGGTGAGGGAAAGGTTTGAAATAATCAGGTGAGTAGGAGTCTTACAGATGTATAGTGAAATTTGTAAGGTTCTGGTAAGTTTCTGCAGCTGAAGGACTTCTGCATTAGCCTCTTTGGAAAAAATGCTCTGGAATTTCAAAAGGAAGGCTGGTCACTTGGGGGGAGGGGAACAGGGTGGATGGGTTCATTTTAGAGGGAAGAGGGTACTATATGCGATCTCCAGTGACTTCCAAATGGGTGGCTTCAAAAACATGAGTACGGAGTAGCCTTTGATCTCAATTTTAACTCAGTCATTTAAAAACTCCTTTTCTTTGTGAGTTTAAACTAGATAATAGCTAAAATAGAGATGAGAATTTCCCCCATCAAATACAGTTTGATGTCTTCAATATTATAGTGCTGTGATAGCCTTTGTATTTTTTTAATGTTAAAGATACTTATTAAATTTTTTACTGAGGCTTTTGATATGAGTATACAGTGATATATATAACTTCCGAATAGTAGCTATTCAGGTGAAGAGTGAAATCTGAAAGGTCTAAGTGAAAACTTGAAATGAAAAGGCTAGAGTTGGCATTCAGATGACAAATAACTTGAAGACTCCGGTAGTTGAATTATGTGAATTCTGGCTGAGCGCCTGTACTCAGTGGTTAGAATGCTGGCTCTGTGTACCAGGGGTGGCAAGTTTGAACATCTGTCCTGTAGTGGAAAAAAAAATTACGTGAGTTTTCTTAAAACTAGGAACTGTTTGAGCCTAAGAAATTGAGTGCTTTTTGCTAGGAGGTATTAGATTTCACTGCCTTTACCCTACCCCAAAATAGAAAGGTGGAATCCTTTGGGTTGTGGCATTGCCACAGGAGTCATTTAACCCTGTCTTGGCTTTCCTCTTGTGACACCTCTGAGAGGTGTTTCTTCAGTACCTCTTGAAAAGAGTATGTTTTGATTGACTGCTTTATGTGCTTATTTTTTATAGCATTTAAATCAAACGGTATTGAGATGGATTGGGTTATGAAACATAATGGTCCAAATGACGCTAGTGATGGGACAGTACGACTTCGAGGACTACCATTTGGTTGCAGCAAAGAGGAAATAGTTCAGTTCTTTCAAGGTACCTCAAGTATTAGTCAAAGTTTAGTAGTGTAATTTTCTATTTGTATTATATTACTCAGTTTTTAATTTGTAAAACCCATTTCACTTTGAACTTTTAAATTGAACTATAATAATCTTGGTGAATGTTTTAAAATATGAAATGTGCTCCAGCTAATATTCTTTCCAGAATGTGTAGAATATACAAAACCTAATTAATGTACAGTAACTTGAGAATAATTGTGTGTGATGAAATGAACCATGAATTAGCATATGGAGCATGGTTAAATTTGATTTGTAGCACTTTTTTCATGTAATATAGGTGGGCTTTTAGAGCATATAATTAGACAGTGTTTTTACACTGGTTGCAAAAAAATTATTTAATCCAATAATATTTGAAAAAATCTTTTCATTTGTGTTATGGGGTGATGGGAAACTAAGCTTTTTTGTTTTGTTTTGTTTAGACTTGTTTTAAATATTTGATTCAGATGGGAATGTTTCAGCCTTTAACACTGTTCCCCTTGATGGGGTTATTTGTCCTTGGGTTAAAGGGTTGGAAATCGTGCCAAATGGGATAACATTGACGATGGACTACCAGGGGAGAAGCACAGGGGAGGCCTTCGTGCAGTTTGCTTCAAAGGAGATAGCAGAAAATGCTCTGGGGAAACACAAGGAAAGAATAGGGCACAGGTGGGGATGGAGAGTTTGGGATGGTGTTAAATTTTTATTTTTGGGGGTTGTGGGTCACTATTGCTTAAATGGGGGGGTAACCATAACATTTTTTCTGGGGTAGCTTAAAAGAATTATAATTACCTAAATTTAACTTGGAAACTACAGATTTGGGTGGGGAATTAATGCTAATAGTTTACTTAAATTAAAATTAGATTATTTTCATTTCTCTGTAGGATGTTGTCAATAAATGCATTTGTTATAATCACTTATTTTCTTTAAAACACCTGTCCTGTACTAAAGGAAACAAACTAAAACTATATTTTATGAATTGTTTTTAAATGACTAATTTGTCTATGTGTAAAACTTAAATATTTAATTATTTAAGTTTGTAGGTATAAAAAATGTTTAGCTTACGGTGTATTTAGGCATCTTAAATTGGGTTATGTATGTAGATATAGAAAAAAAGTACTGCATTTTGCCCAGTATCTTAATTTGTTCTAATACATTTATGCTGAAACCTGTACCTTAAAACATTTTTAAATAGGTATATTGAGATCTTCAGAAGTAGCAGGAGTGAAATCAAAGGATTTTATGATCCACCAAGAAGATTGCTGGGACAGCGACCGGGACCATATGATAGACCAATAGGAGGAAGAGGGGGTTATTATGGAGCTGGGCGTGGAAGTATGTATGACAGAATGCGACGAGGAGGTGATGGATATGATGGTGGTATGTGTATCTAATGAACAAAGGTTCTGTTGTCATTTTCTTAATATTCCTGACACTTTGTCAAGAAATATAGAAATGGCAGTAATTTCAGTACCTATGAGGTTTTAAAACCTGTTCATGAAAATATGGATTCCCATGGCCAGCTGTGGGACTGGATTGATGCACATTAGCACCTAGAAAATTACAATGAGATTAAAGGGAAAATGTTGGCTTGGGGATGAAGTTAATTTTTTTTCCTTTTGAGATTATTAATTTTCCATATGTGATATGTACTTTTTTTCATATGCCCTGAGTTGGGAATTGCAAACTTGTAATAGTCAACAGACTGGTTATCACAAAATGTTTTTTGTAAACTAGTTATTTATAAAATTTTCTCATAATAGCATAGTCATGTATGTCTCCTTATATTACACAGGCTATGGAGGTTTTGATGACTATGGTGGCTATAATAATTATGGCTATGGCAATGATGGCTTTGATGACAGAATGAGAGATGGAAGAGGTAAAATATTAAAAGATTTTATTCTGAGGTAACCTTTAGTATTTGTAAGCTCTCAGTAGGAATATAGGTAACTTGTATAAAAAGTTAACTTGGGCGTGTTTCATTGTGCTACGTAAAGGCTTTTTGTGTACCTTGTAGAGTACTTATGTGTACTTTTTTACGTGTTTCAATAATACTTTATAATCGTGGCAAATGTTATTTTCCAGGTATGGGAGGACATGGCTATGGTGGTGCTGGTGATGCAAGTTCAGGGTTTCATGGTGGTCATTTTGTACATATGAGAGGGTTACCTTTTCGTGCAACTGAAAATGATATTGCTAATGTGAGTAGTTTGTGTGTGAGAGTACTTTAATAATTATTAGTGTTTTTATACTTGTCCTGGCATCTAAATTTTGAAGCATTCTTAATGTTTTCATCTTAAAGTTTAACGTCAAAATCCCTTAAACATAAAAATAAATCTATCCTTATCTTTAGTGTTACAGATATTTTTGTGTCTATTGTGTGCTGACCTACATAGGATTCAAACAAGTAAAAAGCTACATTCATGAAGTCCAGTTAAGAATACAGTGAAAGGCCAAGCACAGTGGCTCATGCCTGTAATCCTAACAGATTGGAAGGTTGAGGCAGGTAGATTACTTGACCCAGGAGTGCGAGATCCCATTTGTACAAAAGAGAAAAATCAGCTGAGTGTGGTGGCACATGCCAGTAGCTAGCTACTCAAGAAGCTGAGGCAGGCTCGGCGCCTGTGGCTCAAGTGGCTAAGGCACCAGCCACATAACACTTAAGGTGGCGGTTTCGAATCCAGCCTGGGCCTGTCAAACAACAATGACAGCTGGGACCAAAAAGATAGCCGGGCATTGTGGCGGGCGCCTGTGGTCCCAGCTACTTGGGAGGCTGAGATAGGAGACTCACTTGAGCCCAGGAGTTGGAGGTTGCTGTGAGTTGTGATGTCATGGCACTCTACCTAGGGGGACAGCTTGAGGCTCTGTCTCAAAAAAAAAGAAGAAGCTGAGGCACAGGGTCGCTCGAGGCCAGAAGTTTTGAAATTGTACTGAGCTATGATGATGCCACTGCTCTCTACCCAAGATGACAGAGCAAGACTATCTCAAAAAATATATGTGTATTTATAGTAAAAGACTGTTGAGTATAGAATGGTGAGGACTCCAATATTTTTTTGTTGTTGTGTTTGTAAGGTTTTGAAAGATTAAGTTTCAGTGGTTTGCTTTGGCTTTATAGGCTAGAATCAGGGGTCCTCAAACTTTTTAAACAGGGCCAGTTTGATGTCCCTCAGACCATCGGAGGGCCTGGCTGCAGGCCCCGGGATGAGTTGGCTGCTAAGCAGGACAGGCAGCGGCAGCAAAAACACCCAGCAGGCCAAATAAATGTCCTAGGTGGGCCACAGTTTGAGGATGCCTGGAGATGGTGATTAGAAACTGAAGAGTCAAAAGTAATAGGAATAGATGATACTGATGTCATTGATTTGAAACTAATTGGTTTTAGATTGATTGGGGGGGTCCTCAAATTTCAACCCATGGGCTAAATCTAGTCACACTTAACTCATTTGTTTCTACAGGAGGTGCATAAGAGACCCAATGGCAAACAAAGCCATCATTGTCTGGCTCTTAAAGCAAAAGTTTGCTATAAATTTTACTGGGAACCAATTGGTATAAATTCCAAGTGCCTTTAGGGGTAGCTTAAACCTGGTTAACTTGCAATTAGAACTATCTCATCATGTTTTGGGGGCTGTTTATATAGAGAATTCCATAGGTTTATCAAACTCCATGTTCTGAATCATACTCTCTGTATATAGCTTGAGTTTTGGGGGGCCCATTATATTTCAAGACAGCAGTTTTGAAATACATTTCTTAGCAGTTAAGGTGGAGGTAGGATTTTATATTCCATGTCAGTTCATAGGGTTTGAGACTTCATCTGTTTCCAGTAAACATTTTTTTAGATTAGAGACATTCTTTCAAAATTTACTACTACCTTATTTTTTATTTTATTTATTTTTTTTGTTTTTT